TGTGCATTGTTTTTTTTTTTTTTTTTTTTTTGCCATGGGTGTCGGGCCCCCTGGAACTGGAGTTACAGACAGTTGTCAGCTGCCATGTGGGTGCTGGGAACTGAACCCGGGTCCGCTGGAAGAACAGTCAGTGCTCCTAACTGCTGAGCCATCTCTCCAGTCCTCTATCTTGTTTCAGTGAACTTGAAGCTTACCAGCTGGCTAGACGCGCTGGCTCTGAGGATCTGCCGCTCTTGGTGCTGACAGCTGCACACACAACGTGTGACACAATGAATGGGTGGGTGACAGAGATCTCAACTCAGGCCCGCACGCTCGCGCAGCGGACACTTGGCCACGGAGCCATCTCTCCAGCCCACACTCCTACTTGGTAGCGGAGCAATCGCTATTCCCCATCTACTAATTCTGAATGCCAGATTTCAGCCACCAGGGCCCCTCAGAGAGACTTGGGACAGTGCACCCTGGAGGGGACTCAGAGCTGGGAGCCTGGGTTCCCACAGAGGGACAGACACTGCTGCAGAGCTAGACTCTGCCTTCCCGGATGTTTGGTCCGACTTCTGGAATGAGGAAGTTAATTATTCCCTCTGCCTGTGGTCTTCCAGCCTAGTTAGATATCTAACTACAGGGTCATCTTGCTCCGGGGGCCTGGGAAAGGCACAACCTTCTCCTCTCGGCCTGGAAAGCTCTCTTGCACAATCAGCACTCCCAGGACATGGAGTCTCCCCTCCCAGCGTCTATTTCCAGCGCATACTAACGCCCTGAAACAGCAAGGAAATGACCCCAGTATGCAAGATTTCCCCACTCATCTCAAGGATTAGAAGCTTTTTTTTTTTTTTTTTTTTTGGTAATCTCTTGGGATATTTTTATTATTTCTCCCTTTGCAAGAATGTGCCAAACAATTACAGTTCCAAAAGCTCTAAATACATTCCATGTTCCCTTCTCTACAGATTGTGGGCCCCAGTAGGAAGTATACACCTTGGCTGGCATGGGCAACAGCGCTAGGCTGTGTTTACATGTATGTTTCTGGCCTTGTCTCAGACATTTCCTAGTTTGAATGCCCTGTTATAGAACGTGGGACTCGCCCTCTCCCTGGCTTCCTCTGGGCTTCTGAGACCCCAAGGCTTGGACGCCACATAACCGGATCTGGCTGGCCTTTGAACTCCTTTCTCCCACCTCTGTGAGCGCCCCCTGCTGCTCTGTCCTCCCCACACAGGCTGAGGCATCCTGACTCAGACCTCAAGGGATCACAAGGAGGTTGTTCTGGGAAGACTATAGCAGTATGCCAAGGCTCCGCGGAGCTCGAGGGACCGGGAAAAGCTCCCGTAGCAAAGCCTCACAGGAACGGTTCTATTGTAAGGATATGAGTGTCCGAGGTATGCACCCTGCATCCGTCTTCCCCCAGTTACCGCTGGGAACACCAACCTCCATTAGGAGGGGAAAAATGCCAGCATGGTATCCTGTCAGGGGTCGAGCACACTGACCACAGACCTCTCGCACACTCTTCAAGTAACTGTTCTTAATCTTGTTGTTTTGAGACATGGTCTCCCTTATGTAGCCCAGGTTGGCCTGGAACTCATAATTCTTCTACCTCAACCTTTTGAATGTTATTATTACAAGTAGGAGCTCTGTGCCTGAGCTTCATTTTAATATGATTCACTGTAGCAAGGCTTTCTCTGTGTAGCCTTAGCTGTTCTAGAACTTGTTCTAAGGACCAAACTGGCCTTGAACTCACAGAGGTCCACCTGCCTCTGCCTCCCAAGTGTTGGAATTAAAGGTGTGCACCACCATCATCCAACTTGTTTTTTTCTTTTTTTCTTTTTCTTTTCTTTTTTTTTTTTTTGAGTCAGGGTTTCTCTGTAGCTTTGGAGCCTGTTCTGGAACTAGCTCTTGTAGCCCAGGCTGGCCTCGAACTCACGGAGATCCGCCTGCCTCTGCCTCCCGAGTGCTAGGATTAAAGGCATGTGCCACCACCACTCGGCTATTTTTGTTTTTTGAGACAGGGGTCTCACTACATAGCCTTGGCTGTCTGAAACTCACATGTAGACCAGGCTGGCCTCTACTCATAGAGACCCACCTGTCTCTGCCTCCTAAGCACTGCGATTAAAGGTGTGGTCCACCACGCCTGGCCATGCTTTGTATGTTTTGAGTCTTGTTGATAAACGTGGGCCGAATGCTCTAAAGAGCCCTGTTCTCTTCCATGATCTTTGTATGTATGCTCTCTCCAAGTAGGTTTTTGCTTAATCTTGAACTAGTTTTTGCCTCTGTTATGATATACAGGTCCTTTCCCCAAAGGCCATCTGATTGCTTCAGCACCATGTTGAGAAGACCAGATTTATGCTACTGAATCACTAGCAATGCCCTCTGTGTATCCATGAGCCACACAAGTGTGGGTTTGCATCCGGACTCTCTAATCTGCTGTCTGTGTGACCTTGTACTTGTAATAGTGGTATATATACTTTGGAAACCCATTATGCTAAAATCAAAGTACTAAAGAAAGGCAGGGCAGGGTTATTATAGTGACCTTCCTCCAGTTCCCTGACTATTCTAAGAAATAGAGCCTTCCTGGTGAAACACAAGTTCATTAAAACCATCTGAGCCCAGGACATCCCAAATCAAAGCTATCACCAGGAGGTTCACAAGTGGGGAAAACTACATGTGAGCTCCTCTTGGAATACATAAAACAACTTTATTTGAGTGGGAGGGGTCCACATGTAGATTATTTAAAAACATTAATGATTTGTCCACTTCACTGCCAGACCTATCTAGAATTCTACAAGTTCTCAATAATTAAAGTTGGTATAATTCCTGACGTAGGGGGTGGGGACCAAGGGTGGATGTCAGCATCAGTTCTTGGTACAACACTGACCAACAACCTTGGTGCAAATGACCTTGTTGGACCAAGGCTGGACTCAGTAAGAGTTTAACAAAGAACATCTAAATTGAAAAACACCCCACCTTACAAAATGATTTTCGGAATCCACGTGTACTCTTTGGCAAAGGAAAACCCTATCAAGTAATGATTAAGTAATGAAATAATCAATAGCCCTCACAGTAGGTGGGGGCAGGTTGTTCCCCCTTGTCTTTGTGTTGGTAGAATCCACAGGTGTTAGAATTCTTCCCATTGACATCGCTCAGGGCTGATACCATGGTCTGTCTACCTATCAGGCTGTCTAGACCTTTGCTGCTTCCTGCTCTGGGAACTATAACTGGAGGTTTCTTTCCCACCTGCCAGTTCCCAAATAACCACTTGGAGGCTTAATATTAATTACAAACTGTTCGGCCTATTAGCCGAGGCTTATTATTAACTAACTC